CAATTGTTGCTTTTAGCAAGAGAAATTTCAATTGTTCTAGTGAGTGTAACCGTTATTTCTTTCAAATTCATACGAGGACCATTCAAAATCTATATATTAATGCAAAATGTTGAAAGAGGAAATAAATACTCTTTGACTATATTATTATTCAAAATATTTTATAAAGCTAATTGCTTACTACTAAATCTATGTATAATTAGTTTAAACATGATTTGGTAATAGAACTCGGACCACCCAACGCTTGTCTCGTCTTAAGCCTTTACAAAAGAAAGAGAAGCACACACATTTCAGACCATCTAGTTACATCGCCCCAACTACAGCTGCAATATCGGGGGACAATCACAATCTAATCGCTCTTTTTTTCCTTCTCTATTGGGTTTAAGGCATGTTTTTGTTAGACACTGAAGCTCAAAACAGTCAAGAATTGCATTTTTCGATTACATAGATCCCAAAACAGGCTTAAACCCTTAAACCCCACCCCATTAAAAGGGACACATTGTAGTCTCTTGAGTTACAAAGAGACTAAGAGCCCAAATTTCCAGTACTTGTTTAAAAGAAATGGGAACATTTTCAAGTAGAGGCAAGATCTAGAATAAGAAATTAACTCAAACGCTTTTGAAAAAAAAAACTCTGAACTCAGAGTTCTCTGCTTGTAGTTCTGCATCCAGAACGAACTTGTCCATGAAATTGTACTTCTTGTCACACCCCCAACCAGGATTACTCTGCATTTCAAGTTTCAGAACACATCAATAATACATCTTTGGAGATATCCGATTAAAGAGATTGACGGTAGATGTAAAGATATTGGGGCTGCACGATCAGCAAATCGTTTCACAGAATCAGGTGCACTGTAGTGATCAACAATCTCTTTAATCAGGGGAGCTTGCGCCAACAATTCAACAATTGCTTCCTATGGAAAAAGATGGAAACTTAAGTAACCAAACGAAAACTATTGCATGGATACATAAAAAGAGCAAAATTCACAAAATCCAACATTATTATTACCTCCCATTCTTCTTGATCCTTGATTCCCTCGTACGCCACTATGAAAGGCTTCACCTTCTCAAGACACTCAGGCAGAGATAATGGCGATTTCTCATCAATGGATTCAAAGTCGCATTATGTATTCTGGCTCACACTCAATCTACAAAGGAAAAAAACAAACTTAAAAGCCAACCAACAACAAGAACACTTTCTACATCATTCTTTTTGCCAACCAATATCTAAGCGGCCAAACCACATTATAGAGCATGAACCGATATTATATGATGCTTCATGTGAATTCACTATACCTAATACTACTTAAAGTTGTAAGCTTGTCTAGGATTAGGATAGATTACCAACTCTTGATGTTCTGCATCAGAGAGATGCGAGAGTAGTCATATCCTCTGCCTCTAGACTCTAGAAACTGAGGAGGAGGGGGAACATGGGCCACAATGCCAAAAACAGGACGGTAGATAGCACGAGGACCAAAAGGAGGGGGAGGGCCACCGAAACCTAGAGGAAACCTTGGAGGAAACTCATACGAACCATTAATAAAGTGTTCGTACTCTTGAAGAAAATCCTGC